TCGCTGCAACTCTGCCTCCTGGATTCAAGAGATTCTCCTGCCTCAGCCTCCCGAGTAGTCCCAGCTATGGAATATTATCAGTAAAAGCACACATTTAATGTTATTTCCCACAGCAATTTTTGTATTTTTAATAGAGTGATTTTTTGTATTTTTAATAGAGATGGGGGTTTCACCATGTTAACCAGGATGGTCTTGATCTCCTGATCTTGTGATCCACCTGCCTTGCCCTCCCTGTAATCCTGTGCTGGGATTTCAGGTGTGAACCACTTCGCCAGGCCTAAAAGATGATTCTGAGAGGGGCTCCATAGGCTTCACCAGACTGCTGGGGATGGAGGGGAGGGCTGTGGCACAAAAAAGGATAAGACACTCTCCATAGAGTATCATAATTTAGAAATGGGTTTTGGAGCCAGATGGACTGGAGTTCAAACCTTAGTTTTGCCACTTACAAGCCAAGCTGCCTGGGCCTCGGTTGTCTCACCTGAAAAATGGGGATTACTACCTACCTTATGAGATTAGCATTGAGCACCTGAGTAAAGGTGATTTCCTAACGCAGCTGGACTTCCTGGTGAGGCAGACAGTGCCTGATCCTCAGCTGGGATAGGGTCCACCTTTCTCTCTGCTTCCTATCCCTCCCACTAGAGAAGTCACATGTGTCTCTCAGCCTGGCAGAACCCAGCTCTCTGTAGCAGGACAGAAAGGCTGACCTCAGACTCTTCTTGGATACTCTATTTTATTTCTGAGCCCAAGATCTGCACCCGACACCCCAAATTAGCTGCCGCTATCTGAGGCTCCCAAGAGAGACCAGTCATCTTGCTATCACATGCAAGTAATGTGAAGCAGCCCCACCCAGTGGACAAATGTAGAAGTGCATGTAAAGAAGGCTTACATGCGCTTCTACATTTTTCCACTAGGTGGAGCTGGTTCCCATTCTAAATACCGCAGCCCAACAGGGCAGAACTAGAGAGCTGGAGCATATTCCATCTCCTCTCCTACCTCTCCCATCTCACTTAGATTTATCTTTTCAAATAGAGCCTGACATACAGAAAAGTTCTCATTTTGTGCGCCTTTCCAGTAAGCTACCACCGTAAGAATAGTAGTAACTCTCCGAACTTCAAACACGACAGGTTAGCTTCTAAAAATGCTAACCTGTCATACAGAATATAGTATTTTGTGTTTGGTTTCTTTTATTCAACATTATGTTGGCGATATTACTTGCAGTTGTAGTTCATTCATTCTCACTGCTTCCAAAGGCTCCACTGGGAAAATATGCAAAAAAATGTATTTGTATCCTCATCTGCTGCGTTGGTGAAACAATTGAGGATATAATCTACCAATTGTAGATTGGTGAAACAATCTACAATTGTTTCACATTCGCCTAAGTTCTCAGTATGGTCAGTTCTTGGTACGAATCTCGCTCAGGCTGGAGTTGGCTGGAGTGCCATGGCGCAATCTTGGCTCACTGTAACCTCCGCCTCCCGGGTTCAAGCGATTCTCCTGCCTCAGCCTCCCCAATAGCCAGGATTACAGGCGTTTGCCGCTAGCCCCGGCTAATTTTTTTACTTTCAGCCATTCTAATGAATATGAAGTGGTATCTGCTTGTGATTTCAGTTTGCATTTCCTCGTGAACTAATGACATTGAACGTATTTTCACATGCTTACTTGCCATCCATATGCCTTCTTTAATGAAGTGTTTTCTCACATATATTGTCAATTTTTTACAAAATTGGGCTGTGTATTTTCTTACTATTGAGTTCAGAGGATTACTTCCATAATATAGACTCATCAATCATGGGCCTAAATGTAAAACCTAAAATTATAAAATTTCTAGGAGAAAACATAGGAGAAAAAAACCTATATGACATTAGGGTAAACAGAGATTTCTTAGTTAAGACACCAAAAGCATAATCCATAAAAGAAAAAATCAATTACTTGGACTCCACCAAAATTAAGAAGGTGTGCTCTTCAAAAGACACTAAGAGAATAAAACAGAAGTCACAGACTAGTAGAAAATATTTGCAAATCATATATCTGATAAAGGACTTTTTATCAAGGATATGGAAGTAATCCTCTGAACTCAAGTAAGTAATTTTTTGTTTAATTAGCAGGGTGTTGTGGCATGTTCCTGTAGCCCCAGCGAGCCTTCTACTTGGGAGGCTGAGGCAGAAGGATTACTAGAGTCCAGGAGTTGGAGGTTGCAGTGAGC